ACTAATTGTCATATCATGGCCCCTCTCAACCTTGTGCCTTACCGTACCGGTATTTGCGAGGGTGGGAAGATTCCTCGCGGGAGAAATGGGACTTCGCATTGAGAAATCTCCCAAAAGGGCCATGAAGAATGGGGTGCCGACTAACACCATTGAGAGCTCTGCTCTCACCAAGCAATCAATTAGGTTATCTCCGTTCTTCTCCACAGGAACCTCCGTTTTTCACTACCGGTATCCATTCTAACCAATTCGTCAACTTAGGGAAAGGCGTACTTGTAGGTACGGGTACGGTTTACTCTAACCTTGCAAGATTCTGGCACTGTTAGCACTGTGAGCACAGCACCCGCACGGAGGATAGGCTCAGCAAACAAATCTCGACCAACCAGGTTACCAAGACTTGGCAATTATCGCGACTCGAGAATCTAACAACTCCGGAACGGACTGTAGCCGTACCTGTGCCGTACCTGTGCCGTACCGTCCTCGCTCGATTCCAGCAAACAAACGGAGAGTGAGCACCGGACTACGGTACGAAAGCTGCTGAATTACTTGGGGTCTAGAAAAGGCATTGATCACTGTGCTTAAGTTTCCATCAGAAGGATAGGACCCGGCAGCCACTATTGTGCTTATGCGACTGCGGCGTCATGCTAGCGGACAGGGACGGTACTGGGCAGACCCTGGTTTGTGCCCCGTGCACTGCTCTAGAATACGGTACGGTACGATACGGGTACTAGTTTTGGTACGGGACATGCTCGAGGATAAATTGATGAGTGATTATATCATCAGAACTTGACTCACTGGCAGATTTGGGAGAGATGATATTTGCGGAACAAACTTACGGTAAAATCTCGTATAGCCCACTATCTCCGCGCAGGGGTTAATCTATGTCTTCAGAGACAAAGTACCTTAAGAAGGAATAGTATTTACCTGACGTGGTATGGCTGGAGCATTCTAAGCAGGTCACCGATGTGGATCATACTTGTACGAGATTTTACGGGTAGTACAAGTATGATATCCGTAATTGCTTCGTTGAAAGTTTCGTCTCCCTAGCTTCCGGGTTGGGAGCGATATTAAAGGGGTGGGGTTTGCTTACTCCTGATTGTTTGCGGAATTGCTCGATTTGGGGTATTGTTATAGCTGTGGGAACCGAACGAAAGGGAAAACTATTACTACGGCAGCTCATGAAACTCGGGTTGAAGTGTTCGGGGCGGCTTCGGCTGATCGGCTGGTATAATGCACTGAGGGTTTGGGCTGTCGGATCGGTTCGAGGTCCTTCGCCGACGAGTCCATTCTCTCTGGCACGTTAGCACAGGGAGCTGCTGTGTATTGTTTACGGTCTGGTAACTTGACTAAGGTACCGGTACCATAAAAACCACTCACAGTCTCCCCCCTGACTAGGCCTTGTACAGTATAGCATATGAAGTTAAGCACAGCCACGCACTAGTTAACGAGATTTGACAGATCCCACCATACCGTATTTAGTAGGCGCTATTCCTTCCCGGGATAGCACTTAGTCACGGCGGAGATTGTGAATTTCAAGAGGTTTCACGGCTCTCTAGGGCTCTATAGTAGAGTGTGGGGATCGAAGATCAATTGATACGCGAGCCTAGTGCTTTGAGGAACGGATCTGGTGGCAAGAGGAAGGGCCACATTGGGTGACTTCATAGGGTCCGTGTGTTTCTAGATTTGCCTATGATTGTCAAAGATACTGTGATAGCCAAGTCATTTCGGCCCAGAACTCGGAGTTACTGGCACATATGTGCTGTCTACCAGATTTATCACTGCTTGAGCCCCGGTGGGTCTTGTAGGGTTTGGGTCCCCATGAGCCCAATTCTCTATCTCGGGATTAGGATTAGGATTGCTCGGAACGGGATACAGCTAGAGCTGGGGCATCGGGGCCAACATCAGCCTATTATCGTTATAGGGTATATAGGCACTCTTGGTCATGTATGATGCGGGGTTCTAGAGCTTAGGTAGATAGAGGGCCCCGCACAAGTGCCTGGGGTTGGGGAGATTCTGCATTCAGGCCCTTTGGGTCGGTGCTGGGACCTGGGGTTGAGTTTTGCTGTGGTTTCAGGAGAAAATGCTTGATTATAACCCATCCACGAGAGGGGTGCTTCAAGGTGCCTTTGCTTCCCGTCTTTGTCACGGATCTTGGTGGCACCCGGAAAGCCAAGCCCCCCACGGTGCCCCAACCTCCCGGCCGCCCTGGATAAGGAGAGTGCGGGAAAAACGGTACTTCTAATGGGAAGCTCATACTGTAGTGTCTCTGGCTTCGTGGAAGATACGAGGCTAAACCACAGGCCTTGTCTCTCTAAGTCTCCCTAGGTTTATGCTTTAATCATTATGCTGGGCTTTCGGATAGCATGTGTTGGCGGGTTGGGGGGGTTACAGTTGCTTGCCATACTTTTCCTACTATCCTCCGAACATATTTCTTATAGGTAAGATGGAACGGCGGATGGAAGGATGGTGAGAAGCAATTAGAACATATCGCAGGCGGCAGCTTGAGAACATTGGAAACATAGAAGCCCCTTCCGGAGTGGTAGTCCGAGCATTACTGAAGCCGTTGAATTAGATAAGATGGAAGTACGCCAACCTGGTCCTGTATCATGATGCAGGTAGAGGGGTATCCCAATGTTTCACTTTTTTTTTCCATCATATCGTATCACTCACGTGATGGACCTGCTTGCAATACCGAAAGTTGGTTTTTTGCCAAAATTTAATTACATAATATCAGGGCTAAAACACATTCTGGATATACGATGAGCAATAGGTATCCCCCTCCTCAGCTATGCCACGGCCTAGGGATCCAAGAGGAGACTCTCTATTACTATTTCACTGAATGTCACTCGATTGGGCCAATGCTTGCATGCGCTGCCGCCGGTCAAGGCCAATAGCCCGAGATGAGGGGAACCAAAAAGAAGCAAAGCCTCATGGGAACAGAGAGCCGTGGAAAGCAACAATTTTTCTCGTGCATTCTTTTGCGTGCGCGCCCCCCGTGGCCGCAAGTACTGTACTCATACCAATTAGAGGCATCTATATATACAGCGATCCGAGCCCCAATTTGCCGTGCCCAACACACAGCGCTTCCGTCACATTGAAGCAATATCCTCGACACACGCCCAAGTGATTTCTACTCGGGCTCCTTTCGGCGCTCCCTGATTTGGACGTAAACTCCCGATTCCGATGTTTGGTTTGTCCCGGACTCGGTCTGGGCTTTCTTTGATATGGTGCGATACCTCCTAGCAGGACTGGTTTTCTCTACTCTATCATACCGTATAATGTAATTATATATTATTGGGCGTTGGAAGAATTAGATTATGGGGGGGGCGCCAATACAACCTCTAGAGCAATGCATCCGAGCGCACATTAGGGAGTTTATGATGGAAAGGGTACCACTACTACTACTACTACTACTATTACTGCTACTACTAGCGATGGTCATGGCTTACGACGGCACTGGCAGCATTGCGCCTGGCTTTTCAAGTCGGGAACTATAATGTGTGTGGTGCAGAAAAGATCTACGGTATGATACTTAATTTGGGTAGAGGTAGCGAGTGATCGACTGTGATTTGTGGAGTTTCCTAGTCTGCGGCCATGCTTTTTTCATAGAATTCTAGATAGAGATTTCATGTGGTACCCTAGTGTCGTGGCCTGCCAGCTCTGGTTTTTGAGATGGGGTTCGTGGGTCTCTGGAGTTCTTTAATTATTTGGTTCGAAGCTCTGAGAACAAAGGTAACTTTCGCAGCGTTTTGCCAAGATGGGCTTCTGCTGGTCACGAATGGAGCTCTTCTCGGAGTGGGTTTTTTCACTCTTGCTGAGAGAATCTGCCCTCAGGGGTATAACGTGATTCTTAGACTTATTTATTCACTCTATCATCTACGATAGAACACCAACCTCCCCTTCTCCTTTCCTTTCCTTTAAAATATGATATCCAAAAAAAAAAAAAAAACCTATCCTACCCAAACAGATTTCTCCAAAACCCTCCACTCCCCCCCAACCCCTTCCTACCTCCCTCCCTCCCAACCTCCTCCACAAACTCCCCCAACGCCCTACCTTTCATCCTCTCATCCCCACTCTCAACTCTCCACTCACCCACACTTTCCCCCCGCACAAAAACAAGTATCGTCGGCACTTTGCGGATCTATTCAAATTGATTAGCCCCGCCCACACACACAATGGGAAGGTAGGGGGGAATGTGAAGAAGCGTATCATACACTATATCGCAACCCCAACTCCCCCACATCCCCCGGTGCGTCCAATTCCACTTCTGCCAGGCCAATCTTTCCGTTCGAGCTCTCCTCCACCGCGCGCCACAGGAGTGGCTTCACGGCGCGGCAGGCTGGGCAGTAGCTTGTTGTCCAGTAGGTGATTGGCGGTGTGGAAGAGGCGGTGTGTGTTAGCAGGAGGGTGTGGAAGGTGTCGATTGAGCGGACGCTGGGATTTGTTAGCTAAGGGAATGAGAGGTAAGGGTGGAGGGAGGAGGTACGTACGAATCGTAGGTTCTTGGTTGGAAGTGTGTTTGGGAGGTGTGGAAGTTGGAGGTGCGAGGGGGGCGCGGGGTGCGGGCTTGGAGGAGGAGGGGTTTTAGAGGTTGAAGACGGGGTGGCATCGTATGGGGAAGGTGGGACTTGGCGGTAGCGTGGTTGAAGGATACCGGCGGACAGAAGTGAAGGGGAAGGAGTTTTGGTGCCTGGTCCGCCAAATGATGTCAGAGTCTTGGCGATCAAGCAAACGTTGTGCGAGATAATGACTGTGCCGGCACTGTAGACTACTGTACTTGTATTTGCTGTGTAAGAACTGAATTCTTGGGCAGCTCGATACTCGAGTACTCGTACAGTACTGGTACAGGCGCAACAAGAGATAGGAGTTAATGACAGGCGTATTTACATGCGTAACTTATAGCACGATTCGGTACTGCACAGCATGTACCTGAAACAAGCAGCAATGATCACCTAAACACAAACGCCAGAGAATGAATACAGGGAAACCAGAACAATTCCTTATTACATGCAAGAATAGAGTTACTTATGAAAGATTTTCGTACGAAATCAATGAACCCCTCCTTCATCCCGGAATTAAAACTCGGTACCTCCAAAACAAACGCCGGAAACAAAACCAATCACCACCAACTAGACTAACCCAAACACCAAGAGGCGTTCATTACCCCAACGTGCGCTCTCACCGAACATTGATAACGCCCAAACCCCGACCAGACACAACTAGCCCAATCCAACACGGCCTCAAAGTACCCTCCACATCCCTAATTCCTACAAACAAGAAGAGAAGAGAAGAAAAAATACACAGAACATATCGGAAGGCATTTCCTGGTGAATCCGACCCACTGCCGCTGGAGGATATAAGAAACGCCACAGAAAAAACACGAGAAAACCGGGAAAAGGAAAGGAAAAAAACAAGAGACAGAAAGGTCAAGAGATGGCAAAAAAAGTACAAGCATAAGGAAATGTTAGAGCTCAAGAGCTATACTACCACCCAAGGCTATCCATGGACGGCTCCATCTACAGAATAATAAAGATTGAGGATAAGTGAAAACTCAAACTTCCATCCCTTCGAAAAAGCCATCATCGTAGTTGTCGTCGCCCCAGATGCTCTTGCTCTCGATGAAGTCGTCGTTAAGGTCTTCGCCCTCACTTTCGTCCCATCCATCAGATCCGACTCTACTATTTCTGCCCCATCCGGCAAGGCTCCTCTCAAGCGGGGAGTGATTCAAGGTGCTTAATCCCCTGAGGTAGAGGTAACAAACTCTCTTCTTATGCTTGTTGAAGAAGAAAAGGTTAGTAGACCAGATAAGCCCTTCGTCACCATACGGATCGTTGGAGACATCGTCGGGAGAGTAGGCATAGATATTGCAATTCAACAAGTCCATCTCCTTATCAATAGTCTCCCACATCTTGGGAAGCTCTCTGGAGGTGTTGACGCCTAAATTGAACAACGTTGTATTAAAATTGTTCATAACGGGCCTGATGTGACGCTCACGACGGAAGTCCGATGGGCGAAGCGTGGTAGAAAAATCATAGTCGGGATGAGAAGCATTAAGGGTAGCAATCAAGTAAGCAAAAGTGCGTCTAGCCGAAATCTGATCCAAAGGTCCAAACGGGGAATGCAGGGTTTGGTAAACGGCAGCAGACTGGTACTTGCTAGCGCTATCGGAACCGCGGTCAGGGGGAGATAAGGACTCCGATAGACGGAGATCGGCTTCATAGCGAGTGCTGATAGTTTCGCAGACGTTTTTGTAAAGCTTCTTGTCAGCCCCTGCGGCCTGAATTGACACGCGAGAGCGATTATTAGCTTGAGCTGCTGCAGTCGAATAATTTCATGGGCTGGAGTTAAGGACCTTGGTGGTGTAGATGTCTACACCGCCAACGACACGGCAATCAGGAGTGTCGAAGACGAGAGCACGATTGATCGAATCAAGCTCGCGAAGAGGAAGGAACTAAGTCCAGGGCGATAAATGTCAGCGATCAAGCTTGGACAATAAACCGAAGGCAAAAAATGGATAGGGAGGTTTGGCGCATTCTATACTGTAGGGATCATAGCTTACCTTCATGGCTCCGGTCGATGGGTTGGTGTCGGCGTGTATTTGAAAAGTCGCTGGTGAAGCAAAGAAGTTATCGAAAGTAGGGCTTGATATGAATTCCTGATTAAATCGCCGAGATTGTTCGTTCGTTATTCAGAGGCGTAGGGTTGGTTATATGAGCTTAGAAATAGCTAGAGAGAGGGATATTTGCCGGGCCAGATAGCTCGTGCGGATGCGACCACTACCCTATTGTTCCCCGTTCCCCCGATTCCTGGTTTGATTCGACAAACGGCAACGCTGCAGAGCACGAGTAGGTGTTTAAGGCCAAAGGATCCACCGACCTGTTAGGACCGTGTCACTTTAGCAACAAACGAGTGTGCTAGCGATGGACGACATAATTTGATGGTGTATAATGGTTTTATTCGGGGGCGTTTGCTGGTGAGTTCAGAAAGGAGAAAGAAGGGAGGTAATAAGAGGGAGCCGAGAGAATATGTGGGAGGGGTGGGTGACGGTGAGCTGAGGGCGATTGATCTCTCCCCTTCCAAACTATCTGACCGAAAACGGCTACAGCACAGAAGCATAACCTCAGGATGCGTAGCGTATTATGAGGTACGTAAAGGGTTCAAATAGGAACGATTCTGGGCCAGGGTTTTCATGGTTAGACTGTACCAGCAGCACTATGTAGCGCTGGTACGAGTATTATACGTTATCATGGGGGGAGTGGGCCGAGTGGCGAGCTCGCTAAGAACAGGACCCCGGTCACAGATACCCCGGCTGCCAGTCCGAACGAGCATCGGGAGTCGGTTGAGCTGGTCAGTTTTGTCTCTTCATCTACATATTCAGTACGGGTACGAGTACTATCGTGGTATTATGATGCTGTAGAAGAAAAAAGGTCGGCCATGATGGAGTGATGAATTTTGGGGGATGAACAGGAGAATCGTGTCAGCAAGGGGAACGTTAGTGGGGAGAGCATCATGTTTACCGCCCAGCCCACAGGGTATCAAGAATCAGTGGGCATGTTCCATGAGCAACGGGAAAACCCCTGCAGAATTCTTCAGCCAACCATGACTACCGATACTCGTGCGGTACTGCACCTGTGGAGGTCAGCTACCTTTGATAGGTGACAATCATATTGTTCACAATTTGTCCTGGTTATGGAATATTAGGCCGGACACATGCCGGTAGTGCAGTAGCAACAGACAGCAGCGGGTCACCATATCGCATTAGATATGATGATGTTGTACAACACCATACCCCCACCTCCAACTCCAGCTCCACATTTGGGAGAGATAAAAATATTCAATGTCTGCCTAAAGCACTCGAGAGAGAGTATCATATAAGGAATGCAGCAGTTTCTAGCCCAGCATCGGCGTTTTCATTAGCTCCGCTATCGGAGAAAAAAGTGGGGTACCCCGCGCCGAGGTCACACCTGTGCAATCATCTTCTTCTCCAGGTCTACAAGTGCTCTATTGGGTATCCATACCTATCGAGTTTTTGTACCCCACGAGAGGAACCACCCATAGTAAAGGTCCAGACTCGGACTTCATGAGTAGGACTGGTTTACATCCCAAGCAAGAGGAATGGAGTCGTAGCATTCTCCCATCTCCCCGCCGCCCCTGTTATCATTAAAGCGGGGATCCGGGTTGATAAGATTTCTTCCGAGGCACACACACAGGGTCCAGTCTGCTAACCATAAGGGTTCGGGATAGATGGCTACCCCGCGCTTTGATAATATCATACCGCAATCGGTAGGATATCTCCTGAAGACTTCCGCTATAGTAATCTATCTTGTATGTGGACCCTGGAGACCTCATCCCACGTGTGCCCCATACTGGTACAGTACCTGTGTGTGTGTGCACGTCACAAACCGTTACGGTCCTAACAAATCGAGCTCCCGCTCCCCCCCTTCCCCAGGAAGCGTGGGCTCAGCAGATACCTCTTCCAAAGCACGGAGAGTTCATTCGCTCAGCGACCGAACCTGCTTCAAATATTCTAGGCCAATTCCGACAGGTTTGAGCTAATATCAGCTGATTGGTATGTCGGGCTGTCCCCAGTGCCGGTATTCGTTGTAGGGTTCAATGACTTGCTCCTGGGCAATCGGAGAAAATTAGGGGTCTAGTCTATATCTTCAAAGTTCTCTCTACTACTCGAGTAGCAAAGCCTGATTTTTCGTCATGAACTTACATCACCTCTTGGGGGTCTACAGAATCCGGATAATGAACGGTTACTGTGCATGAGACTATAAATCTCTTCGGAACTTCTCGATCAGGTTCCTGTACGTAGCAGTTTGGACATCGGCTACAGAAGAACCTCATAAGTTGAGATGCCAGTAAAAGGGACTTGTCATAACCCCCAACCTTGAAAATCAGGGGATGTTTCCGCTCAGAATTATATAGACTATAAAGCCTCTACCATCACCAGGCACAGTCAACACCTAACGAAGAACTCGGATTTCACCAACCCACTGTAATCATCCCCTATCACTCGCGATCCCGAGTTACCCAAAACAACTCGAGATGTCATTTCCCACTTCCCAGACCAACCAATCACCCCAGAGACTATTAAGGGGTCGTTTGGCCCGTCGTGGTTTGTAAGGTATTATAAGAAAACACTTGTAGCTACTTGGACTCAGATCCTAAATAATACTATAGTGCGGAAAATATTATTATCATCATCATAATATTATGTTGTGGGAGAACAACCCCTGAGATTTACCAGTTATGAGTATCTTGAAGCGTTTGTTAAACCTCATTAATTTTTTTTAAGAAGTTTTTAAATCACGGCGAGCCGGGCGCCCCTTAACCTGGTCAAATGGCGGTCTTTGTAGGTTTCAACACAAACCGGATATTATTCAAAAATAGCTATTTTTATATTTATATTTATTTTTTACTCTGTGAAGAACTTGGTTAATGTAGTGTGCATATCAATATTTGAGTTGCAACTTTGGAGAGCTTCGGAAACTTTTGGAACAAATAAATAACCCTTTGATAATAATATATAAGCTGCAGTTTAAATTCCAGGCGTTTGAACTGGATCTCCAGGCTCTTCCGCACAATTGGTTCCATAGCAGGAAACCTCGGGGCCCAGAAATGGTACGGGCAGTAAAATATTGATCCCCAGATTCTCGACTAATTGAGTGTATAGTTGAGGCGGAATTCACAAATAGAGAACTCAAATTACTCATGTTTTTTTTCACCCCTTTTTTACCATTCCGGTGCGGTTTTGTTGTGTTGTCACAAGGTACGGTGCAGCTGGCGACCAATGATGAGCCGGTCAAGAAGTACACATCGCGGGCAGATATCACACTGGTAGTCAGTTCTTGTATCGTGGGGGATGCGAGACAGAAGAGGCCAAAGGGGTCCCCACAGCCTTAGGACCCGACTGTGAGTATGAGTGGTATCCTAAAAATAACTTGGACTTGATTCTTCAGAATCTTGTCTGGCATAGCGAAGCACCAGCACTAATACTAGAACCGGACCCATCCGAGCTCTCTTTCACTTCAAGCCCAAGTTGAGCAGAGCGAAACTCATGCGAGGGAACTACAGAAGGGGGGCAACTAATGAAGGCCAGAGAGGACTCAAGGAGGAAAAAAGAAGGGGGAAAGGGGAAGGTGACTAAAGGGAGCGAAGAAGCGAACGATGAGGAAGGGAGTGATCTGAGGGGCTGGAGATCCATTTCGGAGTTGTGGTCAACTCCAAAATCATCAGAGGCCAGTAAGAATGTTTGAGGGTAGCGAAATGGTAAACTTAGGCAGGGAGCATCGTACAATAGTAGAGTATGATAACTGCTGTGAAGTGTCAACAAGCACCGTGCCTTCCGAATGTGCCAGGACGTGTCCAATGGCGCTTCTTCAGGCTTGCTATAATACGTCCACCGATACCGTCTGGCGAGGTTCAAGTTTGCACGTGTGTGCTACCGAAGGGGAAGAGGGTGCACTGTACGGGTACTATACTAGTACGAGTACAGTGCAAGTAAGGCGCAATACTGGTGCTCGAGTAGTTGGAGAAAAGGGACAAGTCGGAAGAGAGGGTTAGCTGCCGGCACGATAGTCTGATATAATAAGCCTTAATCACGCATACCCACTCGTCCCAGACAATAAGTACAGTACCGGTACCCGAACATTAGACAGATTCTGCTTTGTAGTGCACATTATGTTGCTAGAGAAGCGGCATGGCATTGATTAGGTAGATATGAATGATGGTTGTAGAAAATTTCTATCGTGCAAACCAAAAACTTTGTTGACTTGGTGCAGAGATATCGGTACAGTACTCGGAAACAGGATCTCCAAATATACGGCAAAAATATCCGCGCTTGTCCGAGTGCGCATGAGGATTCACGACCCCTATTTTTGAGCACTCCTTACCAGGGACGAGTACTCGTAGACTGCAGTTTTGTCGTTCCAGAATCGTCATCATGAGTAGACTATTGTCGCTGTGGTTGCGGTGGTGGTGGCACAAGTAATAACGGTGTTGTGTACGAGTTTTTAGTCCTTACTCAAGGCGAGGAGGATATTGCCGTACTGTACAAGTAAAAACCCTAATGACCCACCGTCTCCACCCGCTCTGTAATCTCCGCATTCCGGGACAAAAGGTCTCGACGCGGTATAAGATCGGCCCACTGGATGTGTTGGGTCTCACTACAGCAATTGGCATTCGCAATTCCCTTGGCCCATTTAACTAAACCTATCGCGGCCGGACGGACAGATTCCCGCTGATGAATTGATGGTTGGATCAAGGTGCGGCAAAGGCGGCAGAGTGGGTCAGATGGAGTGGAACGTTTCACGTGTTTATATGCGTGTACTGTACAGTACGAGTGCTGTGGATGGAAAAATGGAAAAGATGCTCGCGAATTTCGAAGATAAGCTATGCCCGGCCAACGATCTGGTGGGCCCTGGCATTGAGGTGTTCTGATATTTATGAAATTTGTGAGTGGATGGCATGGTGGAGGAGAGTTGGAAGGGTCCCTCGTCTTCCAACCCACCGCACTTGGAGCGGTCAGGTGCGACACTCGCTATCTTGGCTCGAACCATTCGTAAGGCGGTTCGAATGCCAGAGTGTTCCGGTAACAGACGGGCAGAGTTCTGTTTTGGTACCCAGGATTTACGAGCACTATTGGTACGAGTACTGTACTCGAGTATCATATCATACAGTAGTATTAATACTAGTGGTTCCTCAAGAGCGACTCCACAGCGGCGAGCAAGACATCATCCCACTGCCTTTCACCATACCGGTACACCACAACCACCTCACCCGTACTTGCTTACCCCACCGGCACAAGTACTGCGCCTAACTATAAATTTACAGGATGGTGCCTGGCACTTGAAATCAACAAAAGAAAACCGGCACGAGAGCAATTTTCGGAAAATCCCCAGCCACAACCACCACATCTTTAGGAAGACATGACTTACCGCAATAGAATTCCATTATGTTTTCCAATTTCTCAATCGGAGCAATCTTA